TAAGGCAAACGGCTGCGGCTTTATTGCCTGTGATCGAGTTGAGGTCGGTAGCCCAGCGGCATGAAAGAAAGTGGCGGATACGGTTTCTCAGTGTGCTCGGCAGGTATACTGATAGAGCCCGCCACTGTAGCCACACCTGAATCTGAGGAGGAGGCAGACGTCTCAGCGCGTCGCCTCTTCAGGTGCGTCCCTAAATCAGCTGTACTTTATGGCAGCGCGACGTATTTTATTTTATCCACTTTCCCGTCTTTCTTTGGAAATCCAAAGTGTTGCCAAACCTTGGATTCATTGCAAGTTTTCGGGACGTCTACCTCTCCATCCGCCATGGTAACGCTCTCCCACGCGCTCTCCTCCAACTCCAGACTTCACGAGAATCGCCCACTGACAGCAGAGGAGACGAGCGCGCTTAGAAACAGAGAGGAGGCGTCTATCCAAGTATGAAACGATTGGTCACAAATCATTGGACGCATTTCTAAATATTAAATGGTGTTCGCCTCCACACGATTCTGTATAAATACATCGGATTATACCGATGCAAAAATGTTAGAAACGATGCACCGCGATTCATCCCACAAGGTATCCGGTGCACACTTTGTTGATCCGGGCCGACGCATCGTGAGCTTTTACGCCGACGCATCGAACCGGTGAATCTCCCCATCCCCACTCCAGAGATTCAAACCCCCTCCTGCGTGATGCGTCTCCACGGAGGTTCCTTTAATGCAGCGTCGCTCCTTCAGGGACGGGGGCGAGCGCCCAGGACCTGATGGAGGACGAGGAGACGGAGGCCGCGGACGAAGACGAGGACGACGAGGCGGAAGTGGAGGACGACGAGAACGTGGAGCTGGTGACGGATTAGATATCTCACTCCTCTGGCGCTGAGAGTCATTCTCACTCCTCAGCTTCTTTCCTTCTTCTTGTTCCTGGCAGCTCGTTACATTTGTGAAGCTGATGACGTTTCACTTGAAGCACGTTGATGAAGATGATGATGAAGATGTTGATGATGAAGACGAAGCTGCTGCTGAAACAAACTTGTTTGTTTACAGACGGAAGAAAAAGAGGAAGAGGAGGAGGCGTCGGTCGGAGAGGTGAAGGCGTCCCCCAACGCAGACACCACCATCCTCTTCGTCAAAGGAGACGGTAAGGTCCCTCCATGCTTCCTTATCTCCTTAAGCAAAGGAAACAAGTGATCAAATAAAGCTTTATTTTATTTTACATCCCGTCCTTTGGTAGTAAAGTCATATTCACGTTCATTCAAAGCAGCCGTGTGACGCCGGAGAGAAGACGATATTTCAGCTGTTTACGGCAGAATGAACTCTTCATCTCCTCCTCCTCCTCCTCCTCTTCTCCTTCAGACTTCCCTGCCAACGAAATCGTGAAGTTCCTGCTCGGTTTCTCCAACAAAGGACCGGAGAACTTCGTGGTGGAGTCTCTGGACGCCTCCTTCCGTTACCCACAGGTACCACGACCTTTAACCTCTCCGTGATGCGTTCGGGGACCATTACAACTGTACGGCGATGTGTTCATGGGTAATATGTAAAATGTAGTTTTAGTCATAAACTTTTCCTTTTAATATAAAATGGCAGATATGAATTATTATGCGTTAAGCTTCTTAAACTATAAGAACTTTACAGCATTAAAAAGACGACATGAATAATTGATACAATTTCTAAATGTATCAATGTTTTATTCCCTTTTTAAAGAGAAAACTACTGTAGATGACTCGAGCAAAGCGAAAGTAGTCGTTATTATTTCTCACGATGATGTAATCGGCGCTCCTCTCTGGCCCCGCCCCCTTCCCTTTAGGATTACCAGTTCTACATCCAGAACTTCACGGCGCTGCAGCTCGGCATCGAGGTTCCCGCCAGCCGGCAGGCCACCTTCGAGTACTCCTTCATCCCCGCCGAGCCCATGGGGGGGCGGCCCTTCGGCCTGGTCATCAACCTCAACTACAAGGACGCCAACGTAAGCCCCGCCCCCCCATGGGGATAGATTTCATTGGTTTGAAGTGTTTTTGTCTTTACGTTCCTCACTTCAGGTTTTATGGGATGAAACTTTGAGTTGTTGACGCGTTAGAACTTGTTTTGTTTCTGGACGTATTGTGGAAGTTTAACTTGTTAGTCAAACATCACGAGTCTCTGACGCCCACAGAAGGGATTCGTTTTCATCGGAGTAACCAGAGCGCACATCGGCGTCCCGAGGCGTCCTCACTCGTCCCTGAAAGTCTCTAATGAGTAAAAGTTGTCTTCTCGTAGGGGAACATCTTCCAGGACGCCGTGTTCAACCAGACGGTCACCATCACGGAGCGCGAGGACGGACTGGACGGAGAGACGTAAGCGTCCACGCCGCCTCACCTCCGTCTCACGTCCTGCTCCCTCACTTACTCCTCTTCCTCGTCTCTGCAGCATCTTCCTCTACGTCTTCCTGTCGGGCCTCGGGCTGCTGGT